ACACCTGTCGTACGCACGCGTCCTGCTCACTGTAAATGTTAATAAATATTCACACATGTGTACAGCGTATGTACAAACGAGTATAACTTTCAATCAGCTCGAGTGTGCTATAGTATTATGTACAAAAGGCTCGTAACACTTGACTTCGCCGGCGAGTCTTAAAATATTATTCTCATTTTATTATTGTCCGAGTTCACCACAGTTACGACAAGTGAGTGTAATTCGGTATTAGGTATGGAAGGCCATCTTCTTCGCGAGTCTGTGTTAGTTATCTTACGTTATCTACATTATCAAAACGAGCATTCTCTCCCTTCTCTCGCCCGCGACTACTTTACGTCATGTGCAGATCTCCCTTCAATATCCTGGTGAAGGTCTTCTTGAACTGCTGATTCGCCAGGGCATAGCAGAAAGGATTCATGGGACTGTTGGCGTAGCACAAGAAGTATGAGAACATGAAGAGGTGCTCGTTCGTGCACGGTGGATTCGCACAGAAGCCCTCTACCAGTGCCAATATGTGATAAGGTGTCCAGCAAGCGACGAACGCCCCCAGGATAAAGGATATCGTGCGAAAGGCCTTGCGCGCCCTGTTCTCCGTTCGTGATTTCTGCCGGCCTACCGTGAGATCCTTCTTCTGCGTTTTCGCCTTCAAACGCTTCCCGATGGACTTGACGAAGTCACGCCGGGAGCCGCTCTGCTCCGCATCCGACGTTTCCTTCTTCGACGACTGACTCCTCGTCTCCTTGTTACCGGTGGCGACCGAGACCAGCGGTATTATGCTGCTGGACGACGAGTTCTGCGGCTGATTACTGCTCGTCTTGATAGGCTGATCCGAGAATCGATCGGTCGTGCCGTTGGACGATTCCATCGGCATTGCCGCGGCCGTTGTGACCACCGTCGTCACCGGTTGACGCTTCGTCCCGTCGGCATTGACCGAGACCTCCGTGTGCACCTTGCTGACGGTGGGCGACGTCTGCGACGCGACGTTCGTCTGATGCGTTATGAACACGCGCGGCGGGTGCGTTTGACTCGATGCGTTCGACATCGTTGGTGGATTGTGCTGTGGCTGCTGTTTGCTCTGCGCGATCTGAGCGAGTTGATTGGTACCAGCTTGCTGAGCGGTCGCTCTGATCAGAGCGGTTTGCAGCAAGCTGGTACTCGCGCCGGCCGTCATGGTGGTTCCCAGGATAGGCGACGGCGGTGCCGTCGACAACGGATTCGCCAGGCTGCAGGAGAAGGAAGACGGTGGACTTTCGTAAGAAGGACTGGGCACGATGATGGAACTCTCGTCCATGTATCGTAAATCACCGCCGTCCAGACCGGTGAGGATGTCGTAGGTGCCGTGACCATGGGAGCGTACGATCAACGACCTGGGTCTGTCGGTGGACGAGGACGTCGTCGGGCTGTCCGAGATCGGCGGGCTGCTCTGGAACTGCATGGGCGGCGGTATGATGTTTTGTTGACTGCTATTGATCGACGCTCGTTTAAGTTGAGCGGGCGGCGTCGCCTCGGCCGAGGCGATCAGTTGTTGATTGCCGTCGGGGTCATTCGATTTCAAGGATTGTTCGGGCGTTAGCGTCCGGCTGCTGGACCTGTCGGGCTCGGCGGGATTGTCGGTGTCCAGGAGGCTGAACTCCTGTATCTTCGGCAGTGTTTGAGCTTTCTGCGTCGGGGTGTCGCGCGTAGGACTCGTCGGCAATAGTTTCCTCGTCGTTGGCACACTCAGCTCGACCTTGATCGGCACGATGCCGTTCAGGCGTCCGTTAGTGGCGAAAACCTGGAGAGCGCCGGACTGAGCTACCAGACCTGCCAGCGAGGATCGTTTTCTGATACTGACTTGCTGAGCGGTACCGGCGGTGCTCTCCTCGTCGGAATCGAAGGCGGGGCTACTGGAACGTTCGGACTTCTCGGTTTCCGTCACCGTGATATTCGCGGAAACATTTTTGCTCGAGGAGTCCAGCGTCGTTGCGCCATCGGTGGTCTTCGCGGTCGTCTTCTGCATGGTCGTGGCATCCGCACCGACAACACTGTCATCCATCGACGTGGTCCCGATCTTCGGTTTGTCCTGACTCAGCAAGGTGCTTTGTGTCTTCGACATACCTATACCGGCAGCGCGACCGGCCATACCGGACATCGCGCCGGCGCTCAGCGCGACCATTGACTGCATCTTGCGCTGCTTGGCCTCGCTCTTCTTCTGCATATCGTAGGCGGTTTTGTATATGCCGCCATAAAGAATGAACAGAACGATCAGCGTCGTCCAATAATATCCTATTATCAGCGCGGTATTGAATACCGGATCCTTGAGGAACTGTACGGCGCACTGGCCTGGATTTAGGTCTCTGTAACCGATGAAGTGCTCCCAGCCGAAGATGCTGATGAAAAACAGTAGCGCCGGTATGATCCAGGTGATAGTCACCATCCAGATTACACGCTGCTTCGTCCGCCAGCTGCGATACTGAGCTGCTATCTTCACCGAGCAGAAACGATCGATCGTGATCAGGAGAACAGTGTATTGGGACACAAGGCATACCGTATAGTCCACTGACAGCCATAGATCGCAGAGGAGAGGTCCCAGATTCCAATATCCCATTAGCACGTAGACTGTGTAGAACGGCATCGACACGGTGCCTGCACAACAATTACGTCGTTACTTGTATAGCCGGTTTCTCTCGCCACGTATATCTGATTACTCGTATTCTGCATTCAAACAGACCTCGCGATAACTAAATTACACATCTGTATGATTACCATCACCGATGAATACATTGGGATCCATTTGTGATTGAGAGATTTGCATTAGAAATACTGTCAAACCATCGTGAAGCTATGTCGTATCAAAGAACGCCAATCAAAACGCAGCGTAGAATAGGAGTAGCAAAATACAAAGTTGGAATAAAATTTAAATATTTTGTTGTTTGTAGAAATATGCACTTTACATAATTTTAGTATAATTCTTGTTTATAGATTATATAAAATATAAAATCACTCAATATTATATAAATTTGTCAATAACATCAAAATTCTTCAATATTTGAAAATTATGAACCTTTGAAAAATTAATAACAGATTTTTTGAAAAATTAATTACTGACATAAAAAAATTACAAATTATTAAATAATATTTTTCAAAAATTTTTTGTAAATTTAAATTTACGAAATGATTTATTAAAGTATTATTTTTATTTTCAATATTGCTTCGTTTAAATGTGATTTGTGGACAATTTTTGCTCTCGATACGGCTTGCATGGTTTAAATATTTCAGGATAGATTTAAGATGTAACGTGATATCTTTTTTATGGATCGACACAACGTTCACTGTAAGGGGGGGGAGGAAAACGAAATACGGAAATTTCGTAGAACTTACCGATAAGCATATCAGTAGCAGCTAATGATGCGATGAAATAGTTGCTCGGTTGCCTGATGGCCCTATCTACGATGAATGCCAGAAGAACGAGGATGTTACCGCCGATAGTTAGCAGTATGCATATCGCCAGACAGATAGCAATCAGTACGGTCTGCCAGAGCGTAAATGGTGGCAAAACGGGCACCAGAGATTCATCTATTTGATAGACATAAAGCTTTAGCTCAGCAAGTGATACACATGCATGTTAATATGAAGATATTTATAACATTACGGTGTAATGTGCAATAAACACCTCGAGAACACATTCGCATTTGTTATATAACTTGAAGAAACAAGGAAGAAATATACGATTGTGCAACAGAATATATATTCTGTATATACTTTATTCGAAATTTATAACTCTTCCTCACGAGCTCTGCAAATCGCATGATCGTATGGCTTAATTTCAATTACATTACCCGACGTTGGCGAAGTCGTTGCGTTTCCAAAAGTCGAGGTATTCGTTACGTTTGTCGAGAACCATTCGGGCAGAAGTTCCGCGTATTCGCCGCTGATCCAGCGCGGGTCATCCGGGTCAGGCCATGTTCCATTGAATGAGGTACATTCTAACTTCAACGTGTCAGACAGAAATCGACATAGGCGATCCCGTTGTCTCTTCAGCTTCCTAGGAACAATAGAGTCTTCCTTTTTACTATTAACTATAATACGAGAAATAGAGGGTGGTTCTGAATTCCCGCCAGTCGCGGGAATGAATGAAAAATTCATTATGGTAAATTTTTTCGTTAATTAGTCTGATGTAGGGTAACGCGCGTACGGCAGTTTTTATGGAAATAAATAGCGCTCGCGTGAGATACCGTTACTTCTGAAAATTTCTCTACGTAATTCCCCGTAACGGGTAGACCAAATCTAGGCTAATGATATGCGCCCAAAGAAAAAAAAAACACACCGGGCATTTGTGTCTAATCACAGATTAGATAAAATCTGGTGGATTAATTCCATTTGTGCTCGACAGCTACTTCCACCCACGCGTGTAAATTACATTTAACGCATAAAGAGAAGTTCGATAGTTCGATGAATCACAGTGTTTCTATTCCTTCGTCGTGGCTGCGTGTTTGTTACCATCGAAGAAAATGTGACACCGGTATTTCCTGATTCTCTACACAGCGGCATACACGGCCCTACTCTCTGGAGCGTCGCTGCAGCGACAACACGAGAAACGAGTCAAAGGCTGAATACACCAGGCGCACAATGAGCTTGAAATAAGCATGAATGGAACCACATTCAATCCCCGCGCCGGTCTCATCGCCGGTAGGCAAAAAGCGACAAGGTACGGCCTTAAAGAGGGTGAACCCGTTTTTAAATCATTCAAGCAGTCGATCGGAACTTACACAGTCTGAAATTGCAGGCAACAGTCTACTTTTGCCGTAATTCAAAGATTAAGTGGCTTCGAAACAGAGCAATCAAACATCTTCTTATCGATATTTCATCGCTTCATAAAATAAATCGCACGCTACCGTTCTCCACTTATTTCCGCACTCTTTTCGTGCGCAAATTCGTACTATCAAAAGAACATTATGAATTATGAACTTACATTAATAAACGATGTAAAAACTAATATTTGACATATGTTTGTCTTTTTACTCTTGAGGTATATCGTTTTACCATAACATTATGTTCTTCATCAAATATTTATTTTTCTACGAATTATTGAGAATTACTTATTGAGAAATCCCATCTTCGTAGTTTTTGTGCGATATATTCTGGTTAAATTACATTTACAGGTATATTTCATACTTGTAAATAGCAGTTCAATCTGACGGCTGATGATAAAATAATGCAAACACTCTGTGCATAGGCTGTCAATGCACGGATACCCTATTATGAGGTTGAATGAGAACTCTAACTCCAGCTTAGGGAATCGTTTCAACGAGGAGAACACGAGTCACGAGATTATCGCGTCTAAAGTTCGGCTGCACCGGAGTTCTCACGAAGGATAAAGCCGAGCATGACCCGTGATACATCCTCGATTTTCACGTTTTCTTCAACGTACGTCAAAGAAATTCTCAGACATTCAGTGCCGACAAGCATCATAGAGAGCATATTGATACAATGCACGGGTAATTTTTTGCGTGATGTATTCAATATGGATAGCGAATATTTCCAATTGTACATTATTATAATTAATAACTTGATAACTGTAATTATCATAATTGCGTTTGAAATTACAGATATATAAAAATAATGTATTAATTTAATTAAAACAACATAGAGCGCGCATACTTGATGCCATTTTTTTATCTTTCTGTGAATAATTCGTTCATATTGATTTATTATTCTGAGAATTTTTAAACACCTCGATTTAACTCTAACATATCTTTGGAAAGTTTTATTCTCATAAATATTGAAACATCCTTTTTAATTTCTGTCATATGCTTAATTCTATTTCCAGTAAATTTTACAACTTGATGAATCTTACGTTAACATTATATACGATGGCAAATCCCCAACGTAAGTATCTGAGAAATCGTGAGAATGAGGTATGATATACTTTATTTCCCCTGAGTAAATACTTGTTCTCGTTATTCGTGAGCATCCTCCTTGTGCACCCCCTACCGTTGGAATCATTCATAAATACTTGTCCTCGTTATTGCTGTACTTTTACTTTACGAAGCTATTGTGAGCCATCCTTAAAAAAAACCGCCACTTGTAATTATCTGAAAATTCAGTCGATTTGGATATATATATATATATATATATATATATATATAATATATATATAATATATATATATATATATATATATATATATATAT